AAAAATACGCTCCCCATGAGGAACGTGAGGAACATGAAGAATTGTGGTCACTGGTGGATGGTGGGTTTCGAGTCCTGGAGGTGGCTCAGAACCTGGTGGGGTAGGGGTATCTGGGTATGCCCCTACCGTGGTTACTTATGGTTGGCACTTAAGTCGGTTCATGTTGGACTGAGGTTAAAGCGTTATTTATATATATTCATGTGTTTCTTATGTTGGGTCATTGCCCTGATATTTAATGAAGGTATAGATGCGAGGGCGGAGTATGGGGGCAATGACCCATGTTTTATATATATGTTAATTATTAGTATCGTTACTATGTTTGTTAATAAAGCTGTGGACTATTTTTCCCATATCCCTGTGTCAGCGTGTTATTGGGGATAGGTATGTGGGGTGGTTGTTGTCAAGGTTCCGACTGCCCATATGGCGACTATACACCAGTCATGCTGTGTGTATCCAGTACAGGCAGTCCTAGCAGCTCCCATGAAGGAAGAATAGGCCCAGCAGATTTACAATGCTGACAATGAGTTCAACTATGTCTGTGAAGTTGATTTTCCATTGCAAACTCTGATATGGATATTTACATCAAACCTTTGGCACCAACTCTAGACCCATTAAATCATCTGCTATTACTATCTTGTTCTATACCATGACCCCCCTCCTTCTGTTATAATGTACTGATGGCCCCCTCTACCTCATGCCATGACCCCCCTCCTTCTGTTATAATGTACTGATGGCCCCCTCTACCTCATGCTATGACCCCCCCTCCTTCTGTTATAATGTACTGATGGCCCCCTCTACCTAATGTATGACCCCCTCCTTCTGTTATAATGTACTGAGGCCCCCTCTACCTAATGTATGACCCCCTCCTTCTCTTATAATGTACTGATGGCCCCCTCTACCTATAATGTATGACCCTCCTCTTATAATGTACTGATGGCCCCTACCTAATACAATGCCATGACCCTCCTTCTGTGTTATAATACTGATGCACTCTCACCATAATGCCAAGACCCTCCTTCTGTTATAATGTACTGATGGCCCTCTACCTCATGCCATGACCCCTTCTTCTGTTATAATGTACTGATGGCCCCTACCTAATGCCATGACCCTCCTTCTGTTATAATGTACTGAGGCCCCCTCTACCTAATGCCATGCACCCTCCTTCTTGTTATAATGTACCATAGCCCCTACCTAATGCCATGACCCTCCTTCTGTTATATAATGTACTGATGGCCCCTCTTACCTAATGCCATGACCCCTCCTCTGCTATAATGTACTGATGCACTCTACTCAATGCTACATGACCCCTCCTTCTTGTTATAATGTACTGATGGCCCCCTCTACCTAATGCCAAGGACCCCTCCTTCTGTTAGCTGTACTGAGATGCCTACCTAATGCCATGACCCTCCTTATGTTATATCGTACTGATGGCCACTCTTACCTATCGCCATGACCCCTCCTGTTATATGTACTGATGGCCCCCTCTACCTAATGCCATGACCCCCCTCCTTCTGTTATAATGTACTGATGGCCTCCTCTACCTCATGCCATGACCCCCCTCCTTATGTTATAATGTACTGATGGCCACTCTACCTAATGCCATGACCCCCCTCCTTCTGTTATAATGTACTGAGGCCCCCTCTACCTAATGCCATGACCCCCCTCCTTCTGTTATAATGTACTGATTGCACTCTGCAAAGTCCAGGCGCTCTGTGAGTAGAGGCACATCGCGGTGCTAGGCCCCGACCTTCTCGCTAAGCCACATGCTTCACTTTAAGCCCCGCCTCCTGCATGAAGGCCCTCAGAGCTCCTGGAAGGCTGGCTGGGCTGGAAGGGGGGGCTGGGGCACAGGAGGTGGCGAGGGGCCAAAAGGGGACAGGAGGTGGCGAGGAGCCAAAAGGGCACAGGAGGTGGAGAGGGGCCAAAAGGGCACAGGAGACGGAGAGGGGCCAAAAGGGCACAGGAGACGGAGAGGAGCCAAAATGGCACAGGAGGCGGAGAGGGGCCAAAAGGGCACAGGAGGGGGAGAGGGGCCAAAAGATGCTCAGAAGGGGAAAGGGCTTAAGTGGGCCCAGGAAAGTGTGAGGGGCCAAAAGATGAGCACAGAAGGAGAAGGGGCTAAAGAGTGCACAGGGTGGGAGGGAGGCGGAAGACTGCACAGGAGAGGAGGGGGCTAAAGAGGGAACAGGAGGGAAGGGGGCTAATGAGGGAACTGGAGGGAAGGGGGGCTACATAAGCGGACAAGAGGGGAAAAAGAGGGCACAGGAGGGGAGGGAGGTAAAGAGACTCACAGAGATGCTGGGGGGAAAAAGGCACACAGATGGGACAAAGACACAAAGAGGGGCTAAGGGGAGATATTGATTTAGATCAAAGAAAACAACAGCGATTCTCCATTTTGTTACACGTGACACATAGCTGTTAATTTGCACAAACAAAGTGGGGGAGGAGTTAGTAAAGGAAGCTGTTCCTTTAACACAGGAATTTGTTACACGAGGCTTGCTTGATGGGAAAGGGGGATGGGAGGAATTTGCAGAGGAAATTGTGACTGAACACATTGTAGGGGGGGAAGGGAATATTTACACTAGCAGCCAGTTTTAACATAGTGAACACAGAATAAATAGACATTAGTAAATAGCCATTTTATTTTAATTCTTTTGTCCATAACAATATATACACACAAAGAGGGGCTGAGGGGTGATATATATATTTACACACACAGAGGGGCTGGGGGGGCACACACACACACAGAGGGGCTGGGGGGCACACACACACATAGAGGGGGGGGGCACACACACACAGAGGGGCTGGGGGGCACACACACACACACAGAGGGGCTGGGGGCACACACACACACACAGAGGGGCTGGGGGGCACATACACACAGAGGGGCTGGGAGCACAAAGAGGAACAGAGAGACAGAGGGGCTGTGGAAGGGGAAAAAGAGACACACAAAGGAGTTGAGGAGAAACAGATACACAAATTGACTGTGGGAGAAAGGGACACACAAAGGGGCTCGGGGAGACAGAGGCATGCAGAAGGGCTCCGGTGATGAACAGACACACAGAAGGGCTGGGGGAGAGAGACACACAAAGGGGTTAGAAATAGATGCCTGCAGGCGGAAGAAAGAGGCCAGCCACAGTTGCCAGCACCAGCCAGCTGGCTAGCAACAGCAGCCAGCCTGCCTGCCAACTGGCCACCGCAGCCCCCCAGCTGGCCACCGCAGCCCGCCGGCCACAGCAGCCTGCCAGTCACAGCAATTAAGGTGAGAAGAGACATCTCAAGCTGGGTATCACAGAGCTTTGTTATATCACTATATTGTGAATGGGGGCCAGCATTTTAGAGAACACAATCTCCAGGGCCTTTAGACTCCGTTGTAGTCTCTAGTGGGGTCTTGAGGGGACTCTTATTAACATACAGTTTACATATTTGTGGAATGAATATTTTTGAAAATATTTTTCAAATTGTGGGTGTTTTTTACACACACTCAGGCAGCATTTCATAATATTTTTTTACAGTAAACCCGAGGTGGAGTATTGGGCAAGCTTAATGTCAGCCATAGTAGGGGTTATCAAATGTATTTGTGGGTTAAAGTCCGTAGTCCACATAGCAACGCCTCTTGGGATCGGATAGAGCCAAAAGTGAAAGAGAATGGTGAGAAAAGTCACACAGGGACATTTAGAAAAATAAACAAATATACTGCTGAAAACAACAATGCATGAACACACAGTAACGTCCAGTGAAGGACACTCATATATACAAACACACATACGTCTTACAAATACATTCTTACACATTTCATACAAATATTCAATAACTGCATCTGTACACATTAATATTATACACAAATATTCATTTGAATTCACACACATCTATAAATACATGTCTGCATTACAAATTCATTGATTGTCTGCAAAATACACCCATCTTACACACAGTTCATACAAAAACACTACCAGCTGACACGCTCTCTGAGGACAAGATGGCACAGTTAAGCTGTTTGGAAAAAGAAATGTCACTGATTAGCAATTTTGGGACAACAATAACACTGGGTTGGAGGTGGAGTGAATTCCATAGAAAATGGGTGTGGTTAGAAGTGTTATGTTTGTAATGGGGAGGACTTAGCAATACCGCCGCACCCACAGGGGAGGGGGCGCCAAAAAATATTCTTGCACCCAGGCGTCAATGACTGCAGGATCTGCCCTGGCCCCCTGTGCCCCATGCCATGACCGCCTTCCCTCCGTTATAATGTACTGATTGCCCACTGTGCCCAAAACCATGACCCCCATCCCTCTGTTATAACCTGATTGCCCCCTGTGCCCCATGCCATGACCGCCTTCCCTCCGTTATAATGTACTGATTGCACCCTGTGCCCAAAACCATGACTCCCATCCCTCTGTTATAACCTGATTGCCTCCTGTGCCCCATACCATGACCCCCATCCCTCTGCTATAATGTACTGATTGCACCCTGTGCCCCAAACCATGACCCCCATCCCTCTGTTATAACCTACTGATGGCCTCTTGTGCCCCATACCATGACCCCCATCCCTCTGCTATAATGTACTGATTGCACCCTGTGCCCCAAACCATGACCCCCATCCCTCTGTTATAACC